AACTTAAAAAATTTCAATAAAGATCAATGTAACATAACACAATGTGTTATTAGCAAAAGATGAAGCATTAAGTATTAAACAAAAAGCTAATTGGTCAAGGCCGCAACATGATGGGAACTTCAGGATATTTGTTTTCAGAAATTCAACTCTCCATGTTGTGATGAGAGGTTAAAATAAAATTACAAACTGCAAACAAGATATCTCAACTGACCAGCAGCACATTTTCTATCTTAATTACATACAAGTTCATCTTTCAGTGAATTGGAAAAACTAAAACAGGTGGGAAAAGGAGAGCTACATAGCAAAGATGAAAATTTCACCAGTGTGGTTCTGCTTGCAAATCCAATGATGTAAGTCTGGGGTAAGCAAAGCACACTTCCATTGCTAGATTCAGTAGCTAAAAGACCACGACCCTGATTGACCGATGCATCGTCCTGTAAAAAGATAAAATACAAAATGGTCAGAATACAGGATACAGGTCATACATGTTTGTTAATTCATACCTGTTGGATATTTTAAGAAGAATGTTATACAGTTATAAAAAATGAAATATAAAATGAAAAAAAAAAGAAGATTTAAATACACTTAGAATAAATCATAGTTGAATATGTATTCTAAACTCCATTTACCTCCAAGTGATGAGTTACAACACCAAGCAAAAGGAAAGGTAAACGTTATTCATGCATTGGAAAGAAAATGGAAAGCCATGCAGTGCACTAACTGAAAATTTTATTTGAAGCATTAGGTGTAGAATCAAGTAAACAAACAGAGTCAAAAAAACTAGCATCATGGTGAGGAGCATCGCATAAACTGGTTTCACACGTCTCAAACATCTTGACTGTAACAAGAAAACATTGTATGGAGTTCAAAACCAAAACTACAGTACAAAAAAAATAAATTGTAATGGCTTCTAGAATATAAAGCACTAGGCACATATCTGGCTGGCTGAGGGATCATCCAGAAAGTACGAGCGACATTCGCCGTGACGAAACTGCCAAGTTCAGTAAATGCATGCTCACATAGCGCCTGGTAGGTAGGCAAACTCTTTGCGCGCAGTGCATACGTGTACTACGGTGTGGCCTATCCCGAGTCTCGCAGGCGTCGAGCTACTGTCCTTTTCTGAACCTGAGAAAAGCGGACGTACTTTCTGAACGATCCCTTATCAGTCAAGCTTCGGAAGATCATTACCAATCCCTGTCAGTTCCCTGTTAGTTCTACATTTGCATGCGTGGAAATATAAATATTTTTTGTTGATTTCTTACCCTCCTCGTCAAATGTAGCTAAAGTTAGCCTACTTAATTTGTTGCTGATGCAAGACTGAGGTAGCTCGCGTCTGCTCATCATTGTAAGAGGTATTTGAGTATCTGTTAAATACAATAAATGCCTTGCCGTTATATATACAACAGGGGGGCCAGAATTCATGAGTGCTACTGAGTCTATAAACATAATTCAATAATGTACCGTCACTGTCCGTAGCTGTATCATACACAGGTCGATCAGTTTCATCATGATAAGTAGCAGCTGTAGACTTTCGCTTTTCATCCACAAATACCGAAATTAAGGCATCCATCATTACAGCCTAAAATGAATAAGAAAAGAATTACTTTATATTTTAGTGTCACCATTTAACTTTAAATAGATTCACAATAAAAGACAATACTTGCCTGTTTGGAAAATACTTGCAAAATTTTTGACACACGAGCCCCATTTTCAACCACCATAAATTGTAAGAATAGGCATGGTAAACAGTTGTTATTATTTTCTTGGGATGGTGAAGGTTTGGCAAATTCCCAAGAAAGCTCTTCAAATTTCAAGCCAAGAAGAACAACCTAAGAGACAAGGCATTTTAGAAAAAGTGCAGTGGAACTAGTTGGGCACACTTCTTTGACAAACTAGTTTTGACACTTACACACTGGATGTCATCAATAACATAAACCCCCTGAGAGTTGATTGCAACAAGAACTGGTATATCTTGATGAGTAATTAGAGATGTTAGCCCTCTGACTGGTTGCTCAATTTGCCCTTGGAAAAATGCACTCCTGTGGCAGAAATGAAAGTTGTAAAAAAATATTTCAAAAGTGAAAGGTTTATGATAATTATTTAATTTTAAATAGTTTGATGAAGCATGCCAATAAGTGCAATTAATATTACTAACCCATAGTAAGGCAACGACCAACAGAACTCTAGATATTTTCTTATAAGACGTCTGTCTGACATATTATTAGGTATCCTCTTGTAATGCTCAAGTAATCGTACTTCAGGAGAGTTTTTACCACTAATAGGAAGCCATGACCATGAGGTTCTTCGAACATGAGCAGGTAAAAATTTATCCTTGTGTTCCCTTAAGATGTGATCAATAAAAAATATATATTTAAGAACAACATAAAATAATTGTTAAAATATATATCATAGTAGAAAAATCAATCAATACCTGAAATATTGTGTTGTATGTTCTTCTGGTTTGTAAGGACCGAGTTCAATTCGAGCCTGGATTCCTCCTAACATCAGATAATGACTCATTTCACAAGGATAGCGGCCTTCTAAAATATTATATCTGGCCTCTTCGTACAGAAGAGTTAAGCACTTATGATCCCTGAAAGAAAAAATTTGGTAAGAATGTTTTTTTGAGACTATGGTTATGAGAATGGCATCAGACATACTTTATTTTTTCTTCTTCCCGCCGAGGAAAAAATACATTTCTTTGAAATGAAAGAATAGGTTCATCCCTTTCTATACGTGATTCAGTGACACTACAGTATTGATTTAGAAATAATGGCCACTGTCTGCGTATTTCAAAAGGCTTATGGTGAGGTTTCAACTGAAGTTCTGTAATAAATAAAGAACACAATAATTTTAAATAAAAATAACAATAAGGAGGCATCAAAAAGAATGCACTAACTCAGAAGGAAGAAATACAATCACATAATTTTGCAAGTACTCACCCAAAAGCCCAGAGCACATCCACAAGGAAAAGAGAGGGCCAGCTGAGGACGGCAAACCAAGCTCATCTTCTTGAAATATTGCTGTCATTAATTCAGCTGTAGTAGTACTTTCTCTATCTTCTAGTTCCATGTGCAAGGCAATACGAGACATCAAGTAGACACACAAAGGAGCTCCTAAAAAGTTTAGAAAAGGATGATTCACTTTTTATTTTGTGAGAGAAAACATACATTAAGGGTATACCACAAATGACAGAACTTAGCTTACCACGAGATCCCAGGTTTGAAAATGGTTGCAGTGCGCCCTTCTCCATACTTGGTTCATTGTGAAGAGTATTACTATTATCTTTCATTCCACTCATCCCTAAACCACAGGTATCTGCTGTTGCTTGAGATTTGTTCACCATGTGTGCAGCTCTTTCCCTCTCCCATTCTCCCTCCCTTTCTTTTTCTCTCTGCTCTCTTTCCCTTTCTCTCTCCCTCTCTCTTTCTCGGTCAATTGTATTTGATGGGAGATAAGTATGCTGCCATCTATCTCTGTCTGATCTTTCATGCTGAATGTGGCGATGTTGGGTACGTTCTCTATCCCGATCTCTCTCCCATTCAGCATCCCCTAATCAATTGAAACATAAGATTTTTAGATGGTAGCATTGAAATTAATATGAGAACATACGAATTACATTGTTTACTCACCCATTTGTGCTAGTTGGGAACGGTCTCTGACACGATCTCTATCCAACCCATCTCTCTCAAGCGCTTCTCTATCTATTGTAACATGTGAATGAGTCTTTTCATATCCTGGTGGAGCATAGATCCCACCAAGTTTATCATACTGAGGTTCTGAATTAATGTTATAATCCCCTCGTATGTATTCATCTCTGGCTCTGTCAGATGAATAATCCCTAAGGGATTCAGACAATTCAATACAATTGAATGTTTTTGCATGTCATTTATAAACAAGTTTTCCAAAAATCTTCCACTTACACGTATTGATCGAGATAATCAGTTGACTGCTGTGAGTAGCCACGACCCCTTGAATAATCAACAGGAATAACTGTTATGTAGCTGTGGCTGCCATCTGCCTGAGAGTGGCCGTCCATAGTGGCTCCAACAACTGGTTGATCACTAGTGTGTTCTCTTCACATAGCGTCTCTTTAGAAAGAAAGAAACAATGTATTTTGATCAAGGCCAGTGGAGGACGGGGAACAAAGAAAGACAGTAAAGCAGCTTTGACAGCTATGAAAACAAACATGACCTCTTTACCTTCATGACCCTGCCTTCACATTTCAAAGATCATGCCAGGTCAAATACGTATTTCTTAACTTAGAAAACAGTTCTTATCGATTTTCGAAGTGTAACTAACTGTAGACTTGTCGAAAGAAAGGTTTTTTACACCTTACTCACGAATGAGGAGCCAACTATGTTCTGCATTTTCTTCTGCTAGAAAATCTCCACCAATGGCTCCCTCTGGCTTTGAGTGAGAACACTGTTGTCAAGCCAGGATGCGATTATCACAAACACGAAACTTCCTCCTCAAATTATCAAGTGAACAGAAGGGCAGGCTAATATTATTTCAAATAAAAACTGAGGTTTTTAGACGTATTGATTAGTGTAAAATATCCTGACATTTGAAGTTAAGATATTTTTTGGTGAATGACTTATTTGCACAACGTACTATTTGCAGGTTCAGCTTGCTGTCTACTGCTGTCGCTACGTCTGCTAGGTTTTGCGTGTTGACGTCTTGATTCTTTCATTACCCGTCTCTTCGGGTTTCAATTGAGGCCAGCCAAATTTTTACAGCTGGAATCATGTATAATGGAGAAAAAGCTTCAAGAATATAGAGCGAGGAAAAGGAGGGAGGCATTCCTGACATCGGCTAAAAAATCTTTCGCATCGATAATGTTTGGAGGATCTTCGGCATCTACTCCGTGCAGCACTCCACCTAGTTCCCCCGACAGACGCGGTCCTATTGATGGGGTAAATTTTCTTGAGTTGCATAAAAAATTCTACTTAATTTTATATCTTGTCTCTCTCATTATATTTTTAAATGTTTAATGTTTGAATTAAGAGCCTATGTAATCATCAACCTATTGTGCCTATCTTCTTTCCCATTGAGGATCATGTTGATCAGACTTCATGAGGGAACGTTAGGATGCCGTATGATTAAGAAATGCCTTTTTTTTTCTACCAGGAAGACGTATTGGATTCAGATGACTCTACTCACCACCTCTTGGGTCCATTTGGATGTGACAATATTGAAAATGGGGCATCAGACGATGAAGATGACACTGGCTGTGCTTCTCCACCATGGCTCTCCATCACTCTTTATGCATTGTATACTCTTTTGTGGGCTACACTAATGGGTATTGCTGTTCAGCTTGAATTTGGTGCTGTTTTTTTTATTCTCTCTTTGCTTGTACTTATGTGGCTCAATACACGCACAAAGAAAAAGAAGCCAGGCGAGCCAAGTGCATACTCTGTATTCAATCCAAATTGTGAAGCTATTGATGGTACAATAAAACCAGAACAATTTGAGGCTGAATTGAGATACGGGACGGTGGCAGCACATTAATACTGAATGTAATGGTGCTTGTATTATCCACTGAAATGAAATTTTATGAACCAAACAATTTTTGAAAATATCAAACAGTTGAAGGGATTTCCAAATCACAGGGCCCAATTCGTTGAGCTGTGTATGCCCATCAAGTGTAAGCTCCTGAAGTGCAATGCCTGGGCTAATTCATGGCAGTCAAAAATTTTCTGCTCTTGAAGTTAATTATTTCCGCGGAAGTTCTCCGCACAAAATAAATAATAATATAATTTAGAATTACATATCTTGGATCTTAAATATGTTCGTGTTAGGATTCACATCTTACTGTGAAAACAAATTTGTGTCTTCAATTGACTAGAAAACGCTTTTACTGTATGGTACGTGCCCTTGATATAGAACTTCCCTCTGAAAATATTACCATTAAATTACCTTTAGAGGACAGTGATAGTGATATAGCAACTGATGCTGTCATATCATACTGGCTGTGAGTAGTGATTAAAGAAAGTTAATGTGTGCAAACGTTCCACTGTAATACAGAACCATGTCTGTTTCAATATCCGATTGAAAATGCGTCATTCCTTTAGAACTTCAAAAAGTGTGCACCTTATCCTTGTCTAGGTCTGCTAGTTTATTGTCCAAACAATTTTATTTTGTAAGATATCTTTAAAATCCTTCAGTTTTGATTTATTTGGAATGTAAGTCTGATATTTATTCCAGAAAGTGTGTTCTGATGTTAGAGTTAGATGATTGTATTGTAAAAGATGACTGTTATGGGTTGGATGTGAGATTTTTTGGTATTTATATCTGTTGCTCATGATATGTGATGTAAATTATATTTCAAATATCTATGGAAGCTAACAGCACTTATTGTGCCAAAAATTTGTTGAACTTGTGAAATTATTTGCAGGTCACTACATATCTAGGAAGTGATTGATATGGTAATAAGTATGTGACACATTTCTTTGAAAATATCGAGCTGAAATCCATTGGGTTCTTTTTCCAGTGCGCAAAGAGAAGTTGTGATTCAAAAATCTCAATATTGAATCCATTCATCTTAATATTATGTCATGTAAAATCTTTAGCTGTGTGTGTTACAGTAGACTTTGTGTTACTGTGTTTTAGTATATTCCCCAGAGACTACTTTCCTATGGCATACCCAGACTCTCATAGAATTGTGTCCTTCTCACAGTACTTATATGAGTGGTGCTCCAATAATAGGTATTTATATCCCTTTTGACTACTACAAATTTAGGAAACATGTGTATGTATGGGTGCATGGTTTCACTAATCACACTTTGGTGTTGGCAAGCAAGTTTTCGTCTTGTGACGACAAATGGTCAAGGATAATAAAAGTAGGTGATACAATCACAAATACAATAACAGTCTCTATTTTCTGAGTACTTTAACCACCTTCAACACCTCAAACAACACGTGAAACACAACAAGCACCGACTTGATTATGCTTAATTCCAAGTTTAAGCATAAAACTAATCTACCGCCAGAGTTCACTTCCGGCTCGGGTCTGCTAGCGTACCAACCCAATGCACAAGAACTGCAGATTATTTTAACATCGTGCGCTCAATTTTCCTGTACAGATAATTTAAAACTGTACTTAGTGTTCAAAAAATTAATAACACGAATATATCTAAGTTATTGCGATGTCAAACAATATCCAATAATCATCGTTGACCGACGACAGATACTGGCAAGACCATACTCCCATTTGAGAAGTTTTAGACGGAGGCCGTCGGTTCATCTTTCCGCAAGTCGGCTGCTGTTCAACGAAAGACGTAACCGTTGGAAACCCATTATTAAGTTGAACGAGAATAAGCAGGTAATTTTTCATGGTTAAGGTACAATGAATAGTAGTTACTATGACGCTGAATGTATATTTCAGTCCTTCTTGATATGTCTATCATTCAAAGAAAAACTGAGGCAAGAGGGTACATGCAGTTGCGTTTGCCAGAATCTGAAATGTCATTGCAATGAAATTATCAACAGAAATATATTATTTGGTACTTCCGATTATTTAACTAATATTGTGAGAATTCGACAGGCTTGTGCTCTTGACTAAAGCCCTTTTATTTATGATTCAGAAGATTTTCACTGAGTCAGTTTGTGTACGTCTAGCAGACGTCGATTGTTTACAAGGTCGATGTCTGCGTGAGAGAGGTTAGATTAGCCTCACTTAAACTCCGCAGTTTACTGCGTTTCACCTCATTTTATAGTGAGTACTTGAGTTATCGGTGTGTTTATATGTATTTGGCGATTACTCTACTTACGTGGAATGGCCATTTTCATCTTGTTATTGCGCGCGCTATTGCTTATTCTATCCGAAAGACTTGTGTCATTCCTAGCATTTTGCAATGTGCTGTCAGATTTGGATGGAAGTCAGTTGTTGTCTCCTCCATTCTGTGTTTAGTCGATCACATTTCCCTTTCTCGAACGAAATATCTTCACCTGAATGCATTTAACTTGGTCTTATTCACTTCTACTCCTCAAAACCAAAACCTTCTGAATGTGTCTTTTGTGTCAGTTTCCTCTGTTTTTATCATTCTTTATGGTGTGGTACATTCTTTTTGTAGATTGTAGTTGAATCTGGCTATTGCCATGTATCTTCTTGTATCAGCAATAGTTTAGAATATTTCAACATGACCTAAATTTGGTGTTTAGATGTTTTGCATGGTTAATTCTTATTTTCATATATTGTTGTAGAGTGTGCCTGCTAGTGTGACAATATTCAGGAGTTTGGGAAATCTCATTCATCTGATTACTTGTATTCTTAAGTTATCTCAAGTAGAGGCTCTGACTCACTCTGATTTAAAGATCAAACTGGTTTCCAAAAATTGAAATTTCGATTCACTAGATAAAGCAGTTTAATAATTCTCCCCCAAAACATCTAAAGTATTCCTACAAATACCCCTTTAAATTAACTAAGTAAAATTGCAGATTCTTCTACAGATACTGGAGCATTAAATGAAGTGGCTTGGTGGAGGGGTCTCAAACGGAATGCTGCCTCGAAATAACGGGCAGGCCTCATCTTCACATCAGCTGATTCGTCTGCAGGTCCGTTTCTTTGGGGCTGTCATCCTAAATTTATATTGTGATCTGCACAGAGCGCCTTCTTTATTAATTACCATTGGACCAGGGTCTTTTCTTAAGCATGCTATCTGAATACTCTGTATGAATGCTTGTATATGTACTGTAGTTTCATTCTGTACTTCAGCATCTTAATATTCATCCATACCATCACAGTTTGCTGGAGAGGGCCTTAGACCTCAACCTGCACGATCTCAAGATGATGCTACAGTAGGCTACATTTTCCAAAGAACGCAGAGTGATTCCGACTTCCCTACCCCCTATGGCAAACTACAAGGGCGCTGGGCTCTTGGCGATGAAAGTATTATGGAATCGGTAAGCCTCTGAGTGGACCAGGCTTAATTAATACAAGGCACTTATCAAAATACTTGAAGCACATGGGTACTAACATTTCTAACATGGCTTTCCAAAAATACTGTTAATTAACCACACTAATTTTTTTTACAACAAACATTGGGAAGTGGGAACACACCATCTTGCATATTATCAGTTCTAGCCTTTTCTTTTTATTTGTTTGGTTATTTAAGCCAACATTTTGTTCAGGATCTCCAACCACATTGCTTTTAGATTATTTTTCATGGAAATTTTCATTCCCTTTCAGCCTGGATCTGAGTCCCTAGTATTCGTAAACAATCTCTCGATATCACCTCAGCACATGGGATTGGCTGTTGTTCAACACTCTCAGATGGATCCCCTGGCCCAATCATCAAGAAATGGACAGGTAAGTCGCTGATGTATGGATTTCAAGTGTTTCTGAATACTTCTTTGTGAGTTTGTGAGTGAGGAAACAGTAGTCTAACGTCTACTACATTACCTTGATTAAGAGCCTTTTGAGTGCATGGAATGGCTTAGTTATGTTGGAAATTTTCTGATTTACACGTAGACTGGCTACCTACAAAAGAGTAAACGCTTTGCTTTTTACTTTTACTCTTAAGTGTTTGGAACTTTAGTCTCTTTTTTAGTACCCACTCGATTCAATCAGGTTTATTCCCTTCAATCTAGATTTCAAGTAGATATTTTTGAGGAATCTTTTTCGCCGTTAGTGCGCCTTGGGGTAAAATAACTGGTGATAATGCGCCGCGCCCAACGCTCGTACGGTTTGAACGTCCCGCCCTGGTGGCGCGCCTGCGCACTAGCGCTGCGGAGTTAGCGCCGCGCAGTTGGCAGCGCCGGCTCGCTTCGGCTTTTCCCCCTCTCACCTCCCCTCCCCCCTCTCCATCCCGCATCGCGCACGAAGCGGACCCGGCGTTCTTCCTTTGTCTACACCACTCAGTTCGTTCGGGGAGTTGTACGCGGTATGTGCGTGATACGGCGACCTGTCGAGGTTTTCTGTTGAAAATGGAGTGAATATATCGTGTAATTTTGTAGATTTGAGTGCTTTGTACATAGATTTTGTTTTCCGGAGTGTTTACGGTGGTGTTCGTTACTTTAATTTTCCGTTCGACGACAAAATACAGTGAGAAAAAGTGTATATAGCGAGCCCCGGGAGACTCGGTTACTTTGTTTTCATTGTGTGACAGCGCTTACACCCTCTTCTGTATTATTGGATGCTAACTACGACACACGGAACTTACCAGGATATGAAAGATATGGGACCTGATATGGTAAGTCTCCTTTCGCCAATTTTCATTTTAACGTCTCGTCGAAAAAAATGTGTTGTTGGATTTTCACGAGCAACAAGTGTTGGGCCGGACGATATTTTCCTCTTTTCGGGACGCCATATTGCTGCCGTTCTCTGCCGGAACGGACGCGATTTTGCCTCTGGTAAGACGGTGGTGATTCCTTTTTTTCGCCCGTCCGGTTCGTGATTTTTGCGGCGCGGTGACGTCCGTCCGCGCGCGGCGCCCGCCTTCCCCGCGGGCCCGCGGCGCGGTCCGGCGCGGCCAGAGCCGCGGCGCACTGCGGGCTCGGGCCTACCGCGGCTAGAGCGGCGCTCGGCCCCTCGCGGTCCGGCCCGGCCCGCGCCGGCTGCAGGCACCCCCTCTGGGCCAGAGCCCTGGGTGCAGGCGGCAATGACCCCCCTGTGTTGTTGGACTGTCTGCGCCCTGCGGCTGGCGGGGGTGGTGGCGCCCGGCCCGGGCCGCCCCTTGGGGGTTTCATTCATTCGATTGACGCGGTGGTGGTGGTGGACCGCCACCGCCGCCGGTGTCTGGTGCCGGTGCACCCCTTTGCACAGTCTGCTCACCTTCGCTGCTCACTCTACTGCTGGCGTTTAGGCGTCGCCGTCGCCGTGCGGCCCGACTGGCGTGTCCGTCCTAACCTCACATCCTTTGTTCGAGACTGCGCTCCTCGGCACCATCATGTCAAGGAATCTCCCCCCCCCC